CTCTAATATTTCCAATACCGAGACAGCCGCTCTAATATTCCCCATTACAGAGACAGCCGCTCTAATATTCCCAATACCGAGACAGCCGCTCTAATATTCCCATTACAGAGACAGCCGCTCTAATATTCCCAATACCGAGACAGCCGCTCTAATATTGCCATTACAGAGACAGACGCTCTAATATTCCCAATGCCGAGACAGCCGCTCTAATAGAGACAGCCGCTCTAATATTCCCAATACCGAGACAGCCACTCTAATATTCCCCATTACAGAGACAGCCGCTCTAATATTCCCAATACAGAGACAGCCGCTCTAATATTCCCAATACAGAGACAGACGTTCTAATAGAGACAGCCGCTCTAATATTTCCAATACCGAGACAGCCGCTCTAATATTCCCCATTACAGAGAGAGCCGCTCTAATATTCCCAATACCGAGACAGCCGCTCTAATATTCCCAATACCGAGACAGCCGCTCTAATATTCCCATTACAGAGACAGCCACTCTAATATTCCCATTACAGAGACAGCAGCTCCCTAATAAAGACAACCCGCTCTAATATTCACAATACGAAGACAACGCTCTAATATTCCCCGTAGAACAGCACGCTCTAATATTCCCAATACCGAGACAACCACTCTAATATTCCCATTACAGAACAGCTGCTCTAATAGAACAGCTGCTCTAATATTCCCAATACCGAGACAGCCGTTCTAATATTCCCAATACCGAGACAGCCGCTCTAATATTCCCCATTACAGAGACAGCCGCTCTAATATTCCCAATACCGAGACAGCCACTCTAATATTCCCATTACAGAGACAGACGTTCTAATAGAGACAGCCGCTCTAATATTCCCAATACCGAGACAGCCACTCTAATATTCCCATTACAGAGACAGACGTTCTAATAGAGACAGCCGCTCTAATATTCCCAATACCGAGACAGCCGCTCTAATATTCCCCATTACAGAGACAGCCGCTCTAATATTCCCCATTACAGAGACAGCCGCTCTAATATTCCCATTACAGAGACAGCCGCTCTAATAGAGACAGCCGCTCTAATATTCCCAATACCGAGACAGCCGCTCTAATATTCCCATTACAGAGACAGCCGCTCTAATATTCCCAATACCGAGACAGCCGCTCTAATATTCCCATTACAGAAACAGCCGCTCTAATAGAGACAGCCGCTCTAATATTCCCAATACCGAGACAGCCGCTCTAATATTCCCAATACCGAGACAGCCGCTCTAATATTCCCAATACCGAGACAGCCACTCTAATATTCCCCATTACAGAGACAGCCGCTCTAATATTCCCAATACCGAGACAGCCGCTCTAATATTCCCCATTACAGAGACAGCCGCTCTAATATTCCCAATACCGAGACAGCCGCTCTAATATTCCCATTACAGAGACAACCGCTCTAATATTCCCAATACCGAGACAACCGCTCTAATAGAGACAGCCGCTCTAATATTCCCAATACCGAGACAGCCGCTCTAATATTCCCATTACAGAGACAGCCGCTCTAATATTCCCAATACGAGACAGCCGTTTTTATAGAGACAGCCGCTCTAATATTCCCAATACTGAGACAGCCGCTCTAATATCCCCCATTACAGAGACAGCCACTCTAATATTCCCATTACAGAGACAGCCGCTCTAATATTCCCATTACAGAGACAGCCGCTCTAATATTCCCCATTGCAGAGACAGCCGCTCTAATATTCCCCATTGCAGAGACAGCCGCTTTAATATTCCCATTACAGAGACAGCCGCTCTAATATTCCCATTGCAGAGACAGCCGCTCTAATATTCCCCATTAGAGAGACAACCGCTCTAATATTCCCATTACAGAGACAGCCGCTCTAATATTCTCATCACAGAGACAACCGCTCTAATATTCCCCATTACCGAGACAGCCGCTCTAATATTCCCATTGCAGAGACAGCCGCTCTAATATTCCCCATTAGAGAGACAACCGCTCTAATATTCCCATTACAGAGACAGCCGCTCTAATATTCTCATCACAGAGACAACCGCTCTAATATTCCCCATTACCGAGACAGCCGCTCTAATATTCCCATTACAGAAACAACCGCTCTAATATTCCCCATTACAGAGACAGCCGCTCTAATATTCCTCATTACAGAGACAGACGCTCTCCTATTCCCCATTACAGCCGCTCTCCTATTCCTCATTACAGAGACAGCCGCTCTCCTATTCCTCATTACAGCCACTCTCCTATTCCTCATTACAGCCAGCTCTCCTATTCCCCATTAAAGCCGCTCTCCTATTCCTCATTACAAAGACAGCCGCTCTCCTATTCCTCATTACAAAGACAGCCGCTCTCCTATTCCCCATTACAGCCCGCTCTCCTATATTGGATGCTGAGAATCCTCCTCACTGATCAGGAAGGAAAAGGACACCCTCCAGCGGTTTAAACCCCTCTGCTACACGGGGTAACCGCTACAGACAGCCGCTCTCCTATTCCCCATTACAGCCAGCTCTCCTATCCCCATTACAGCCAGCTGTCCTATTCCTCATGTTACGGCTCCCCCGATATAAGAGGGGTTACTGCCGTATAGGACGTTCCCTTACCGAATGCAGAGGTAGCTACTGAGCGCTCCAAACTGCCGAACAGCAATCACACGAACCCGTTGGTCTCCAAAAACAGCCAAACAACAATCACACAAATCAGTCAGTCTCCCAAATAGTCGAACAAGCATAATCCATACGAATAATCCCCCCAATGACGAGACAAAGCTCCGTATTGAGAGTCAGCAGGAATATGTTTTACTGAGGGCTACCTGCCCAGTATTTATGCAGGTCTCCCACCTGGTGGACACTCCCCTAGGGGACCAGATGGGAGACTGTGACAAGGACATTACAACAACCAATCACAGTGTTACACATGTAGCCATGCCCCTTTAATTACCCAAGACCCTCTGCTCTGCCCGGGAGATAATTGTGAAGTAGTTCAATTATCTCCCTGGACAGAGACCAAACGCCATTTTAAATTAACCGCAGCTTCAACGCTCTAATTGGGAACACACGCCAGGATGCAGCCTCGTTCAGGAGTCTTTCGTGAGTTCAGTTCGGTGAATTATGACACGTACGAGGCCATCCGGAGATAGTCAATTATGCTTATGGTTAACCCCAGACCGCAGCTTCCCGGCGGTCAATTAGCGGCACGCTCCGCTCCGCTGGGGGTGGTCGGCTGTTCAGTACTTTCAAAGGTGACCGGGGTTAAGTGGCGGCACACGCCAAGGGCTGGGTGGTTCGTCGTTCGTATGCACGAATAAATAGTTATAACTGGTCGGGGAATGTATTCGCATGGTCTGAATACCGAACAGGGTATTGGGAAACAAAAAGAAGTTCTGCAACAGTTTGTAGGGTTTTTGTAACAGTGCTCCCTCCTTGTGGAACACTCTGGCAGACACTGTCTGACTGTTTGTCAAGATAACCCATCAGCGTTGCCATTCTGCTTCCCGGGTCGTTAGGTGATAGTAAAATTAAACGGTTGTAAGGATAAGCTCCACCGTAAAAGTCTGTCGTTGTCCCCAGCGACCTGGTTGAGCCATACTTGTATGGATAAGAGTGAACTCTTATCCATACAAGTAGGGAGTCAATTTCTTTAGTGCCCACACCAGGGCCAAGCACTCCTTTTCCACTGCGTCATAGCTGACCTCGCGTGGTAGGAGTTTTCGGCTGATGTAGGCAATCGGGTGTTCCTTTCCATCGTCCCCTACTTGGCTGAGGACGGCCCCCAGGACGAACATGGAAGCGTCTGTATGGACGATAAAACGTTTATTAGGGGCTGGGGCAGCCAAGACAGGAGCATTAATTAGAGCACTTTTTAGGGTCTGGAAGGCTGTTTCATAGTGGGGAGACCACAGGACTTGTCGGGGAAGATTTTTCTTCGTCAAGTCGGTCAGGGGTTTGGCAATAGCACTATAGTCCGGTACGAATTGCCTGTAATACCCAGCAGTGCCCAAGAAGGCTAGTACTTGGGTCTTGATGTGAGGTTTGGGCCAATTTGCGACCGCCTCTATCTTGGCTGGCTCAGGTCGCTGCTTTTCCCACCCCACTCGGTGACCCAGGTACTGTACCTCAGCCATCCCAAAATGGCATTTTTCTGGTTTCAGAAATGGAATCTTATCCAGGACCAGAAATTTCAGAAATGGAATCTGATCCAGGACCATTCCTACATGAGCTAGGTGTTCCTCCCAGGACTCACTGTGGATCGCTATGTCATCCAGGCAGGCACAGGAGAAATCATGGAAGCCATCAAGGAGTCTATCCACCAAGCGCTGGAATGTGGCTGAGGCATTCTTCATCCCGAATGGCATGACCTTAAAGTGGTATAAGCCGAACGTGGTGACGAATGCCGACTTGGGGATAGCTTCCCTGGCCAGGGGAATTTGCCAGTAACCTTTACAGAGGTCAATGGTGGTTAAGTAATTTCCCCTGGCTATGTGATCTAGTAGCTCATCTGCACTGGGTAGGCATCGGTCACAGTTTTATCATTAAGTTTACGATAGTCCACACAAAATCTGGTAGTGCCATGTTTCTTGGGTACTAGCACCACCGGGGATGCCCAGGGACTATAGGAAGATTCAATGACCCCTAGTCTGAGCATCTCATCTATCTCTTTCTTCATCCCTGCCCTAACTGCTTTGGGGATCCGGTAGGGGGCCTGCCTTAAGGGTTGCTGCCCTGGGGTATCTACTTTGTGAGTGGCTAAGTCCGTGTACCCGGGTTCCTGAGAAAAGATAGAGTGTTTTTCTTGTAGCAGTTTGTGTAGCTGCTCCCTCTCTACTGGGTTAAGCCTGTCCCCTATCTGCACCTGGTTCACTAACTCAGACTGGAGGTCCTGGTCTAACAGGTTGGGTACGGGAATGCTATCGAGGTCTTCGCAAGCGGGGCTGCATAGGGCTGCCACATCTTCCTAGGTATTCCTTAAGCATATTTACGTGGAATACTTTCTGCAGACTTTCATTGTGGCAGCTAGCAATCACGTATGTATTGTCCCCGCGTTTCTCTACTACTTGGTAAGGTCCCTGCCAGGCGGCTTGTAATTTGTCCGTTTTAACAGGTTTGAGAACCATAACCTTCTGTCCTATATAAAAACTCCTCCTCCATGTCCCCCTGTCAGATTTTCTGTCGCCTCTGGGCCGCCTGGAGGTTAGCCTGGACCGACCGGGCTAATTGCTCCATACGGTCCCTAAGTTCCAGCACGTAAGGTACGATGGGGACTCCAGCATTCTCAGTCTCCCCTTCCCTGTGCTCACGGATAAGGTTCAGGGCTCCCCTGTTCTTGGAGGGGGCTGCTTGCCCGCCTCCTACCTTCTGACTATGTCCCTGGTGGTATATATGGCATTTGAAAACACTATTTGTGCCCTGTGACAAAACTGGAGATTGTGCACAAATATGACTATTGTCCATATTTTTTATGATTCCCTTCGTTTGTTGCACTGTTCCCCCTTTGTTTCATCTGTTGGTCCGGCTGGATAGACTACCAGACAAAATGTGGAGTTACTGGGTGGCCACGATTTCATGTATCAGAGGCACATGGTGAGAACAATGGATGAAGCACATGGTGAGAACAATGGATGGTGGCCATTTTAACTTACAGACACTGTTTGGACTTTTCTACGCGGTGCCATCTCGCCGGTATTTGGTGCACAAAGACATTGTTCAGTAGTTTTAAACTATACACTAGAGGACACATTATACAGTAATTGTTTTTCTTTTAGCCTGTATATGTTCTGCGGAATCTGCATTAAACTGTATCTTCCAAACTACTGAACAGATCTGGGTGAATTTTGGATATGTGGTTCACCCAGATCCCCCGGTTATACTTTTTATGGGGTTATTGCATGTTTTGGGCTCCCTGTGATGTGTTTTATAATACTGTATTTCTCTGCCTGTGATAATTATATTAACCATTGTGTTCAGTAATCATATCACAGGCAGAGGGGAGGATTTTGTGTGGGAGTGTCTGTGTGTATTGTACGGATTGATTGGTTGTATTTCAAAACCCTGTGGGCAGTACTATGTTTGTGGATTGTGAATAAAAGAGGCTGTATGTGCCAGTACAGTCAGTTCTGCTTAACCTCAAAACGAAGTGTCGTCTCGTTATTGGGGGAATTGGATTGTATGCTGATTGCCAGGAGTGTAAGCTGATTGTATGCTTTTCCTGTTCAGCTGCTTACAGCATTCATATGCTTAAGAGCATTCGTATGCTTCTCCGGTTCGGTGGTTGTGGTGTCTGCTGCAGTGCTCGGAGTCCTCAGGAAGCAACGGAGTTACCCAGTCGGGGTGCCAGGT